TGCATGTGCCATAGCTCATGTGTGAAAGTCAGGGGACAACTTAAGAAATCATTTCTTTCCTCCTGCCGTGGGTTCTAGGAAACCAACTCGGGTCTTCAGTCTTGCTTAGACAGCATTTTATCCATGGAGCCATTTTGCTGGCCCATGTTTTCATTTTCTTTGTTATTCTGCTGCCTCCCTACACACGGACGCTTACCAGTAGCAATTTTCTCTATTGGTTCTGATACCCATTTGACCCTTTGCTCACTCCCAGGCATCTGTAAAAAAAAAGTATTTCTTTTTTATAGTAGATTTCTTGCTACATGACTTCATAACAGCTTCTTGGTCTCCACTTACTTCTTTAGATAAAGTAAGGTTTCTAGCTTCTCATCCCAAATCCAGTTATATTCTTGTTTTCTTTTTCAGTTTTCTGCCATTCTTACCCATGATTTTGTCTTATGGTTTTACCATTTAAGTACCATCTGTACCATCTTTTCGCCTTTTTGTTTAAGTTGATACACATTTTCTCAAAGCCTATCTTTATCCTAAAAGTTCATCAAATTCTGGGCAAAATTCAGAAAATATAATCAAAACTACTTCCAAAGCTTCCTCACATGTCCAAGTTCATTTTTAGATCTTATCTCTCTCTCTGGCTTATCCCAGTTTATGATACTGTCCTTTTCCGTTTCCCTCCTTAGTAATACCGTTTTCTTCCTTACATGAAGTGCTTTATTTCCAACAAGAAAAAAAAGATTTACGTGTAGTAATCAATATACCGTTATGTTGAAGTCCAATTTTATTTAGGCTTATCTTTTATGATTTGCTTATAATTTCTACTTCATTTATGTGATGTAATTTCTATATCTAGGCCATCATCTGAGTGATGAGACCCTAATAGTGTTTCTTACCAAAAACTTGAGCACTGAAAAATTTTCATCTATATTCCTTATTCTTACAATGTACTTCATTATATCTTTATACTAAATTGAAATGAGAAATGGTAGAAACTTCCTAATTAAATAGTTTTGTTTGTTCTCTATGTGCATGTTATCTCTGTGCAAATATAAAATGTTCTTGAACTTAAATACGTATAAATACCTTGTTCTTTGAAGAATGAAGTCTTCACACATCTTTCCTAAAGATCTAACCTAACCATAGTTGAAATATGGGTAAAGATTTTTCACGTGCTAGTTATAGCAATAACGTAGTAACTCCCCTTAGAAAATAAATTAGAAGGACCAAAAATTAAGTAGGGGGAACAGAAAACTGTTTTTTCCCTTGGTAAAGAACTGAACAGAAAGCCAAACAGCTTCTGGTGCTAATTCACATATTGGGCAAATCTGATATTACTGTGATTTTTAGGACATTATCCCAATTCTAGAGAAGCTAAGGTGAAGAGTAGTAAGTTAAAGATTCATTTCAGGGGACTGGAGAGATGGGTCAGTAGTTAAGGGTACTGACTGCTCTTGCAGAGGACCTGGGTTCAGTAACCAGCACCCACACGGCGGCTAACAACTTTCTGTAACTCCAGACCCAGGGTATCTGACACCTTCTTCTGAACTCTGTGGGCATTGCAGGACACTGGTACACTTATATACGTGCAGGCAATACATTCATACATATAAAATGAAAATACATAAAAAATTTTTTTAAAGAAAAGATTCATTTCAGAGAGCAAGTACTATTCTACAAGTGCCTTGATACACTTGTCTTAAGAGAACACCTTAATTTTATTCTCTTTGTGTTTAAGATAAATAATTGATAACTATTGGTTAGTTTTAGCTCCTTAATGGGCATATATATCAACCCTACTTTAATTTTTATTTTCAAATTGAATGTTAACTTAAAAACGTCATATATGTCTTTTTGAGACAGGGTCTCCCCGTAGCCCCATCTGGCCTGGAACTCACTATGTAGATCAGGCTGGCCTGGAACTCAGAGATCTGCCTGCCTCTGCCTCTTGAGTGCAGCGATTAAAGGCATGTACCACCACGCCCAGCTTATATAAGTATTTAACATCTTTTTAAAAAATTCACAATAACACTGGATGTCTTAGCTCAGTGCCTTGGCAGTTTCAATCTCTGACATTTAAAAAAAAAAAAAAAAAAAGAATCCTATGACTAATATAAGGAACCTGCAGTAGTTATTAACATTTATAAATCACTTTGAATATTTTAAAGTGATTTTAGTATTATATTGTCTCATTTTTTAACTTAGCACAGATTTAGAGTGCCCTAATAAACCAAAAGGTTCAGATGTATTTACTTGCATTAATCCTGCAGTTTAATTTGTTATAGATTGTAGAATCAAATCCAGGATGTTTTTCTTCATACTCTATATCCTTAACACCATACTATACTCAACCCTGCATTTCATTTTGCTGTATATTTTGAAATATAGATATATTGGTCTCTGTTGGGATAGACATGTTAGTTCTTTCTGAATATTATCTTATTCTTCACTAGTCACCCAGCTGCATAATGGAATTTGCAAGACAATATATTTATGGCAGTATTGGACATGATATTTTTAGATTTCATATGACTTCTGCTGATAGGCCAATTTTAACATACATTGTACATCTTTAACAGGTTGCTATTTCTTGCTCAAAATTTGCAGCATCACTTCCAGTCTTAAACTTGGTTACTTTACATCATTGGGTAATGTTTTTTTCCGGTATCCTCATCCTCTTACTGATTAGCACTGTTTTTGAATATAATCTCTGGGAAACTTAATTCTCTTTAACTATGGAATATTATTGAGAATAGCTCTCTACTCAGTATGAACAGGGAATTCTAACATACTTTTAAAAATGAAAAATAAAAGCCTTCCTGAACGAAGTTTTATTTCAGTCTCCTATTGAATCCTAAGAATGGGCTGCTGGCCTCCATTACTTTCAGGAAATGAAAAATGGCTCAGAAGCTAAGTGAGCTAAGCCATCTCTCTCTCAATTGTTTCAGTTTCTCAGGAATTGCTGTACAATGCTGCCAATAACGATCTCCGGGGATCTGACCCCCATTCCAACCTCCCACTGCCTCCTCAGCAGCTCCAGATGCCACCAAAAGAAGGAGCTTTGAAGAAAGTGCCTGTACCCTCTTTTACCCTGAGGTGGGTGAGGCCAGGCAGGGTGATTCTCAGGATAACCTGATGATCAAAGGTATAGTTGAAGCCTTCATCAAGACTTTCTTGAAGATGACCAAGAAATTTGGGAAAACTTACCAGATACTCTAGGGTCTGAAGATGGAGCTCAAGAATAGACAGCATAAATGTCATCTGATGACATTTATAACCCTAAATAAGCTCCTTGAGGACAGATTATTGTACTTTCTCTTTCTTCCTACCTTCATAATATCTAGCCGAGCACAGAACATATAAAATATACCCAATATATGTTAGTTTATGACCGAGAGAGAAGACTTTACAAAAAGTGCTCTCAATCCCACCCCCTTTTCCTCTGGCACTTAATTTACAATTGTTTGCCCATTCATCTGGATTGATGATATCTCAATGATATCTCAAGCTTCTTGGCCACTTGTCTTATCTTGGCTGCATGTCTGGGTAGAAAATACGTATCTGTCCCACATATGAAGTTTTCAGTATTACTAGTTAGCCTTCATTGATACCTTGACTTTTACATCTTAGATGTTTTGTTATATTATTTAGTTCTATAGTGGAAATCTTATCCTATCTGAGCCATATTCCATGGGACTTACTGTACACTTACTGTAACTTGGGTTTTCAAAATCCCTTTTGTATTTGTTTTCAAGATTCAAGAGTAAACAGCCTTTGTTCTTGATTAGATCTTTTATCAATCATCACTGTTTTTTAGAAGTAGGATGTACATAACAACATGAATTTTCCCAGTATCTTAACTTTTCACTCTTGAATAGCAAGGCTAATTGTAGCTCACCTGGGTGATGCTGCCAGTAGCTTACTAAAAGAATATTTACAGTAGGTAATTTGAGCTAAGACACTAAAAAGCTCATAGTCTATTGTTTCTCTTAGAGAAAGGGAAATACTAGAAATTTAGTTTATTAATTTCTTCTATATTATCCTTCAGTGATGTAGTCACTTCTTCATTAAAAAGTTAGATCTTACTTAGAAGCAAATCCAAATGATCTCATCTTCAAGCATTTGATTTCTTACATCTTTTGTGCCTCCATTTATATGTTAAAGCTTACTTTAGAAACATTTTTTTTTTCAAAGTGAATATTTCAGAGTGTTGCTTATTCTTTTGACAGATACAAAGTGGACTTCATTATGTATTTTCAACAGCTGTTTTTTTAGATTGGAAAGAAGAGAATATTAGAAACAAGAATGTTTTCTGCAGGAAATGAGTCTTTCCTCAACAACATAATTTTCTCCTGAGCAAGAGATATATTAAATCATGCTGCATCAATTTGGGGTTTTGCTAAAATTATGAGACTTTTTACAAGAAAATTGAATAAGTTAACCAGTTTCTTCCAGAATTTTCTATAAGAAAAAAAAAATACAGTGTGAAATGGTTTTGTGGATTGGAGAAGGTATTGGACTTGAAGTCCATCCTTTTACTTTTCATCTTTGGTTCTATTAAATGAGATACCCAACTTGGATCTACTTTTCCCATATCAGCTATTCCTAATTGATTGTATTAAAAGTTTCATTTGTTGGTTCATATGATTTGTTTTAATATAGAATAAGAATCAGGTTAGAATAGTGCTTTTTTTTTAACCAATAAATACTTTAATAGTATTTTATAGTCATAGTACATAAAAATAACTTGTGATTCAGTATTTATTCTTCCCTTATAGTTTTCTCTCTGCTAATATAACAGGAATTATGAGAGACCTGGGATTCTGTCAGTAACATCTAGCATAAGGTTTATCCTCCGCTTATTTTCCTTTAGTTGTGAGCTTACAAGTCATGTTGTTACAGAAAATGGTAGTGACAGCAACTAAAATACACAGTTCTAACACAGCATGGTTTGGCACTTTGGTAGTCCTGAATTTTCCTATGATTTCTGTCCTTTTCTTTCTTTCCAGGTTCCCAGTCAACTTCAGATAAACCCTCCCAGCGACCATCAGAGAGCACAAACTGTAGCCCTACCCGGAAAAGGTCTTCATCTGAGAGTACTTCTTCAATGGGTAAGTGCTATTTCATATATATATATATATATATATTATTATTATTTTTACTTTATGTGTATAAGTATATTGCTTGCGTGTATGTAAATGCACCCATGTCGTGCAATGCCTGCGGAGGTCAGAATAGAGCATTGGATCCCCTGAAACTGACAGTTGCTAGCTGCCATGTGCGTGCTGGGAATTGAACCCCTGTCCTCTGCAAGAGCAATCAACACTAAGCCATCTGTCCAGCCCAAGTGCAAGTAGCTTTTACCAAGTTCTTAGAATAGTTTCCCATTTGGTACTTGTGAATGACAAATCTATGTAAAGGAAACAAAAAAACAAACAAACAAAAAATACAGTTTTACCCTTTAAAAAATTTAAATGCAGAGGCAGGTGGATCTCTGTGAGTTCAAGGCCAGCCTGATCTACAAAATGAGTTCTAGGACAGCTGGGGCAACAGGGAGACCCTGTCTCAAAAAAACAAACAAACAAAAAAAATTGGGTCAGGCGTAGTGGTGCACACCTTTAATCCCAGCACTCAGGAGGCAGAGGCAGGTGTATCTCTGTGAGTTCGAGGCCAGCCTGGTCTACATAGTGAGTTCCAGGACAGCTGGAGCTACAGGGAGCCCCTGTCTCAAAAAGACCAAAAAAAAAAAGTAATCCCAGCACTGGAGACACTGAGCCACAACAAATATTGCCATTAATCTGAGGCTGTATTGGGCTACAGAGCAAGACCCTGTCTCAACAAAACCATAAAATCCCAAACATATATAACATATATACGTATATATAAAATTGACTGAGGAGCTAGATCAGTAAATAGAGTGCTTTCCTAGCATGCATAAAGCCCTAGTTTCTTTCTCGAGCACTATATTGTGATCCCAGCCTGGACTACCTGAGACAGTCTCAAAAAAAAAAAATATTAGAAACTAGCATATTAAAACAAATTGAAAACTATATATGCCAAATATGTGTGATGTGTGTGTATAAGATTCATTACCATTAAAATGACAATTTTTTTCCCCAAACCAATCTGTAGATACAGTGTTTTTCTAGTACAATTCCTATAAGATTTTCATATAAAATGACAGGTTGATTCTAAAATGTATTTCGTTTTATTTATCTTTTTTTAGGTAGGTGTGTGTGTGTGTGTGTGTGTGTGTGTGTGAGCACACATGCCTTGTTGGACATGTGGTGATCAGAAAACAACTTAGAGTTGGTTTTCTCTTCTGTCATGTGGGTATTGGGGATTGAACTCAGAATGTCAGACTTCACAGCAGGTGCCTTTACCTGCTGAGCTCTCTCCAGCCCTGATTCTGAAATGAAATGGAAATGAAAGTACCCAGCAGGTATAGTACCTGTGATTCCAGTACTGGGGAGGTCAGGCAAGAGATTTGCCAGGAATTGAAGGCCAGCCTGTCTGTTGAGATCCTGTCTAAGAAAGGAGGGGCTAGGAGTATAGATCAGTTGATAAAGCACTTGCCTTTGTCCCTGGGTTCATTCATCAACACCACACTGGGTCAGTGGGGGAGGGAATCTAAAAAGCCAAAGCAATTTAGTTCTTTGAGAAATACAATTAGAAGACATCTGTTACTGTGACTTACTATGAAGTTTAGGGTCGGGGAGATGTCTCAGTTGGTAAAGTGCCCGTGGTACAAGTCTGAGGTACTGAAATGACTTTCCAACACTTGTATAAAAACCAGGCATAGCACATATTTCTGTGACTCCAGTAAAAGGGGTGTGGAGGCAGACCCCTTGGAGCTCATTGACTAGCCAGTTTACCTGAAGTGATAAGCCCCAGGTTCAGTGAAAGACCTTGTTTCAAAAAGTAAGGCAGGGAGTGAGGAAGACATACAACATGAATTTCTGGCAAGTATCCACACACAAACATACGTGCACACATGGGTACACCCCTACATTAACATGTACATACAGCACATATACACACATAAAGGCAGTATGATCTTAATGAAAGACTAGACAAATTATTATCAAAATTAGGGTCAGAGTCTAGTCCCTGACAGCTTTCTAACAAGTCAGGTTTGGCTTTCTGTCCTCAGTAGACCAATTAAACAAGTAGTGGTGAAAAGAAGAAAAAGGAGATTAATTCTGCATGGCCACATTTAGAAGAGTTCTGGTGACACCCCCCCCCCCCCGTCCCCCAAGGCCATCTTCAGACTCCTAAGATGAGGTTTAAGTTTAAATAGATGGTAAGAAATACACATAAAAAGCAATGATTCAGGTTCTAAAACTATAAAACTTAGAGGAATCCATAGGAGAAATTCTTCATAACCTTGAGATATGCAAAGATTTCTGAGCCAGATTGGGGGCCCTAGTATTCTTGAGGCTGAGGTAGGAAGATCACTATGAGTTCCAGACCAACCTGGAGTACATAGAGAGTTCCAGTCCTTGCCTAGCATCATGACACAGACCTCTAATCTGAGCACTGGGGAGGTAGATACAGGAGGATCAGGAGTTCAAGGCCAGCCTAGGCTACATGACAGCCTGTGTTAAAAAAAAGAAACACTACTAACAAAAAGAAACATTAGGGCCAGAGCGATGGCTCACTAGTTAAGAGCACCTACTGCTCTTCCAGAAGGCCTGGGTTGAGTTTCCAACAGCCACATGGTGGCTAACACCTGTCTTTAACTCCAGTTCCCTCTTCTGGCCTCTCTGGACACCAGGCACATACATCGATACTTACATACATGTAAACAAAACACTCATACATGTAAAATAAAAAGAATAAATCTTGAAGAAATAAAAAAGCAGCAGCATTATTTTCCTGCAGATGGTCACTTACATCTTAGGTGACTGGACCTATAGTTTCAGTTATAACAGAAGCTGATGCATGCCTTGCATGTGCAAGACCTTAAGCTCAATTCCAAGTATTGAAAAAAAAATTTTTAAGGAATAAAATTTTAATTATCATTAAAAAATAAAAAAACTTTTTGTTGTCATCATTGTCATTGTTTTCAGCCTTGTGTTACTACAACTAGAGAAGTTGTGGCAGGAGGATAACCTCAGGTTTGAAGCTAGCCTGGGCTACATAATGATACCCTCTCTCCAACTAGAGATTAAAGCCTGGTGTAGTGGTCTGTAATCCTAGTCCTTAATATGCAAAAGTTCAAGGGCTGCCTTGGCTACATGAGACCCTAAAAAAAGAGAGCAGTCTCAGGAAGAAGAAGGCAATAAAGAGGTAGAGAACAGGCAGCTTCAACAGTCAGCCAAATGATATAAAAGGAATGAGCAGTGCAGGTTTTTATGGGCTAGAAGGAAATCTTAATGTTCAGCCTATGTATATAATTGCAAAATTTTCTAAGAATTGGGTAGACATTTCTAAGAATAGGGGAGGAGGAAGAGTTTGACAAAATATAGCTCTTTTGGAACCAAATGACAATTTGGTAGGAGGTACATAAATGAAACTGTAGCTATGAGATGCTAATGAGATCTCTGACTGATCTTTTGTGTCTTAGAGTTCCCCTCCAAAGCACAGCCAACAGCAAACCTTGTAGTTAGATAAGTCCATAACCACTGAGTTAAGTATTAATATCCAGGGGGCTGGAATGCATACTGTTCTTACACACGACCCGAGTTTCATTCCCAGCCTAGATAGCTCATAGCCACTTGTGACTCTGACTCCAAGGCATCTGAAGCCTATGGCCTCCTCATGCACCTGCACTCATGTGCACATACCCACATATAAACATATACATAATTTTTTTAAAAATTTTAAAATTTTTAGAAAAGAAATAAATGTCCAGAAATTTCAACAATTCAGTGGTACTACATTCATTCGTTTTAGCAATACAAAGGCATTGGGAACAGTAGAAAAGGAATACTGCAACATTAATGCTTCTCAAAATGATGATGTGTAAGTGTAATCAGGCTTTTTTTGTGTATTTCATACAGATTTTTTTTTTTGAGACAGGGTAGCCCCAGCTGGCCTGGAACTCCCTATATATATGTAGACCAGGCTGGCCTTGAATTCACAGAGATCCGCCTGCCTCTGCCTCCCAAGTGCTGGGACTAAAGCGTGCTCCACCACAGCCAGCCTAGAAAATCATCCTTATACCCCATCCCTGCTTCCCCTTTGGCACCCTCCCAACACCCCCCCACACACACACACACACTGGAGTTCATATGAACATTCTGTCATTTGTGTTAAGGCCTATCAGTGCAAATTCATCCATTGGGGTTTAGTCAGCCTATCTAGAGTTTCTCCCTTTAAGAAGATCAGTTCTTCCTCACCCAGCAATAATCAGCTGCCAATAATTCTTCGACTAAGATTGGGGCTTGCTGTTCATTTCTACAGTTCTGTGCTGGGTTTTGCTGCCTAAATTTGCATAGGTCTTGTGCATGCTGACCTTGTGCATTGGTGAAGGGTCCCTGGCGACTGTGGTACCACTTCCATATGGTCATGCACCTCCTCCCTAGCTCTTACAATCTTTCCACCTCCTCTCCTGCAATGATCCCTGAGCCCTGGGTGGGTGAACCTCAATATAGGAGGCCTGTGCAAGGATCTACAGTCTGCCAACTCTTATTCTCTGTGTTTTGGCCATTTATGGCCTTTTGTATTCCTGGCCCTCTGTTACATGAGGGAGATGCATTAGCGTTCTCTTCATCTCTTGTTCTTTGTTCCGTGAGTCTTAGGTGTAGAGGTTGCATTCATGTAATCAGTTTTGTTAATGCAAAATCCTGGGCTCCAGCATTTTCAGTAAGTTCAGCTACCTGTCCGCAGTCCTCCAATTAAGGAGACTTATATTGGTTAAAAAAAAAGTTCAGTATGGAAGAGGAGTTCCATCTTCAGAGTCCTGAAATGAGCTTAAGGTTTAAGTAGATGAAGAATTGGGGATGGGAGTTATGTATCAGGCATGGTTGATGATGATCTCAGTTCTGGTTCTGCACAGTGGTTCAAAATGTCTTTATTGATTAAGGGGGAAAGGTAGATCTCAGATGATTACTTTTGCTCCAGGATACAAGTCAATGAGAGGTTTAACAGACAATTCCTTGAATGATTGATCTGCCTCTGTGCAGAATTAAGTATGTAAACCAAAGTAAAGAAGACAAGTGAAATGAAAGTAGAGACTCCAGGCTGTAACTTCTGGGTTTAAGTATGGAGCAACTTTTTTTTTTTTTTTTAAAGCAAACACAGCTTCTAAGTGCCTGTCTCATGAATATAACCAAATAACTATATACTCCATCTTTCCATTTATATGAATCCTAGAAAAGCAAACTTCATATTAAAAGGAGGCAGAACTGGCGGGTTCCTCTTACATCTTCCCTCCCCCTTTCCCCTCATCCTGTGTCTATTATTGTCTGAATGAAAAGATACAGAGAACTGGGGCTGGAGAGATGGTTCAGTGGTTAAGAGCACTGACTGCTCTTGCAGAAGACCCGGGTTTGAATCCCAACACCCACATTGGTGGCTAACAACTGTCCATAATTCCCATTCCAGGGAATTGAATGCCCTCTTCTGAACTCCCTGGGCATTTCACAACATAGGTGTACTTACATATATGCAGGCGAAACACTCATACACATAAAAATGATAATAACAGGGGCTGGAGAGATGGCTCAACAGTTAAGAACACTGGTTGTTCTTGCAGAAGACCCAGGTTTGAATCCTAGCACCCACATGGCAGCTAACAACTGCCTGTAACTACAGTCCCAGGGATCAGATAACAATAATAAATAAGATATAGAGAACTTTTTATAGACTGTTGGAAATGATTTTGTTTTTCTATGTTGAGTGGCAGAGAGGGGTAATATATGTTTTTTGGGTCAGAGGCTGGGTCCTATCAGCCCTAAAAAATTATGAGTCTGCCTGCCACCTGTCATCAATAAGCCAATTAAAGACACAATAGTTGTGGCCGAAGAGATGGCTCATCGGTTAAGAGCACTGACTGCTCTTGCAAAGGACCCAAGTTCAATTCTCAGTACCCACATGGTGGCTAACAACCATCTGTAACTCCAGTTCCAGGGGAATCTTACACCTTCTTCTGACCTCCATGGGCACTGCACAACACAGGTGCACTTACACACATGCAGGCAATATACTCATACACATTAAAAAAAAAAAAAAAAGGACGCAACAGTGAAAAGTGGAAAAGGAAGGGTTATTTAGTGTGGCTGCACTGGAAGGAGGAACAGAGATTCAGTTACTGCCCTCACCCTTGTTCATTTGTGGGGGAGGTCTTAACTTGATGTTCCTGGAATTATTAGAAAAAAATTCCAATATAATCTGATAATAGATGAATCTACAGTGCTAGTACTTAATAAAGAAATATCTAGAATAATATCACTTTTTTTGCGTTTTTGTTTTTGAGCAGGGTCGGTTAGCCTCAAACTCACTATGAAGCCAAGGATAACTTTGAACTTCTGATCCTCTAGCCTCTACCTCCCAAGTACCAAGATTGACCCCAGAAATTGATGCATGCTAGTCAAGCACTCTGAGCCCTAGCTCTAATACCATATTTTGCTTTTTCAATTAACAAATTTCTGTGTGTGTGTGTGTGTGTATTTGTGTATTTGTGTGTTGTGTATGTATGTACATGTAGACCATTAGCGGAGGATACCTTTCAGAAATCAATTCTCTTGTTCCATGTAGATTCCTGGAATGGAACTAAGGTTATAAGGCTTGCACAGCAATCACTATTTTTGTTGAGCCATCTTATCGACCCTAATTTTAATATTTTTAGACACGGTTTTGCTATGCCTGGCTGGCCTGGTACACTACTATGCAGCCCAGGACTGACTTGAAACCTGCTGCAATCCTTTGAATGCTGAAGTTACAGCTGTGAGACACTATGCCTGTTATCTAATAACACATTTTAAAGACATGTAGATAAGCCAGGTGTATATAAGCACACACCTTTACTCCCAGAAGCATGTGGATCTCCATGAGTTTGAGACCAGCCTGGTCCATATAGTGAATTCCAGGCCAGCCAGGGCTACATAAGGCATCTTTGAGGCCTTCAAAACCATGCCACATCTAAACTGACAGTTTCTGCTGCCAGCTTGAGATGTAGCACAGGTTTCCCTTCAGTGATGCTGATCTCTTGACCCATTACAACTGCTTTCTCAACACTGGCCTCAATGTTCTGCCTTGAAATTTTCTCTGCCAAGTAAATTATTCTATTATCTTTAAATTCAACTCAGGTTCTCACGGTACAAGCAAAATGAAGACAGATTCTTGGCTGGAATATCATCCCAATTTGGTTCCTGCTAAAGTTCTTATTCACCCTTTGAAACCTCATGGGGCTGTCCTCTTTCTCTGGGCAGTCTTATCTTCCAAGCTTCCCCCAGACAGGCCTATTAAGTTTTGCTTCTTCTACTATTGTTCTAGCCCCAAATTCCAAATTCTTCCATAGTCCAGTCACAAAATTGTTTCAAAGGCCTAAGAGACTGCCAGATTTATTGCCACAAGATCTCTACTCCTGGTAGACGATTTTTTTTCTAGTTTTTTTTTTTTTTCTTTTTCTTTTTCTTTTTTCTGTTGCTGTGATAAAGCACCCTGACAAAAGAAACTTAAGGGATGAAGGGTTTGTTTTAGCTTAGAGTTCAAGGTACAGTCCATCATGGTAGAGAAGTTAAGGCAGCAGGAACTTGAAGCAGCTGATAACATTTTATTCATAATCAAGAAATAAAGAGATAAGAATACAAGTTGCTGCTCAGTTCTCTTTCTCATTTGATACAGTCCAAGATCCTAGTCAAGGAATGAGGCCAGCCACAGTACAATAGCAGGTGACACCTTAGTTAACACAATCAAGATAATCCCTCATATTTGTGCTCAGAGGCCCACCTTCCAGGCAGTTCCAGATTTTGCCTCTTAAACAATCCTAACCGTCTCAGGGACTTGACCAGTTTTCAACTGAATTTTTAAATTTTATTTTATTTGTTTATTTTATCTGTATGAGTGTTTTGCCTGCATATATGTAAGTGTACCTGTGTTGTGCAAAGCCCACAGAGACCAGAAGAGGGTGTCAGATCCCCTGGAACTGGAATTATAGATGGTTAATCTCCATGTGGGTGCTGGGAATCAAACCCAGGTCATCTGGAAGAGCAGCCAGTGCTCTTAACTGGTGAGCAATCTCTCCAGCCCCTTGAACTGATTTTTGTAATATTTGAAATGAGCATAGTTTACCACAGAATGTTAAGCATTTCCCAGGTTAATTATAGGGATAAAAAGTTGCCACATGTTCTCACAATGATCATAAATTTTTTAATTTTTATCTAAGGCCACTTGTTTTCTAGTATTTCTGTCAACATATACTCTAAGCAGTTTATACATATGTTTGTCTTTTTATCTTTGTTTTGCAAGGCTGGGGATCAAATCCAGGAACTTGCCTAACATGGGCAAGTCCCTGCAAAAGAAAGACAAAAGGTAAGTTTAGATCTTTAACTGTGATGTCCCTTAATACTTCCTTGTCTTTGTCAGTATTGATAGTCATTTAGGGGGCAGTTGCAATACTTGGGAGGCCTAGGCATGAGGATCAGCAATTCAAGGTAATCTTCTAGTAGGATTACCTCAAATATAGTAGGTTCAGGCCATCCTGAGGTTTATAAAAAGACTGCTTTTAAAAACATAAAAGAGGGGCTGGAGAGATGGCTCAGTGGTTAAGAGCACTGACTACTCTAGCAGAGGACCCAGGTTCACTTCCCAGCACCCACATGGCGGCTACGAACCATCCTTAACTCCAGTTCCAGGGGAATCTGAAGCCCTCTTCTGACTTCCGCGGCATTGCACAACACGGGTGCTCTCACATACATGCAGGCAATATACTCATACACATAAAATTAAAAATTTTTAAAAATATAAAAGAAAACTTGCCAGGTGTGGTGGTGCTCGCCTTTAATCCCAGGCAGAGGCAGGTGGATCTCTTTGAGTTCAAGGCCAGCCTGGTCTACATAATGAGTTCCAGGACAGCTGGGGCTACAGGGAGACCCTGTCTCAAAAAGACCAAAAAAAACAAAAAAAAAAAAAAAAAAAAAACATAAAAGAAAACTAAAAAGAAAGCTGGTTGTTTGAACACATGCCTATAATCCCAGCTCTCAGAAGGATCACTTCAAGTTCTTCATAGTGAATTCTAAATCCAGCCAGGACTGCATAGCAAAACATGGTCAACACACACACAGAGGCATAATGATTTAGATAACTAAACATCTTCAATTTTTGTCTGTATGTGGCTGTCTCTTTTAGTGAATGGAATTCCTTCACGAAGTCCCAGATTGGTTGCTTCTATGGATGACTCTGTGGATAGTCTGCTGCAACGGATGGTACAAAATGATGACCAAGAGCCCACGGAGAAAAATATTGATGCTGCAATTGCAACTGTGTCTGTACCACCTTCCTCCAGTCCAGGCCATAACCATAGTAAAGAACGAGCCCTAGGCAAACCAGAGGGTCTTCTAGTGCCAGCAGTCCCAGCTGACTCTTGTAGTAATAATGCTCCACTCCTTTCTGAAAAATTAACAAGCAGCTGTTCTCCCCATCACATTAAGAGAAGTGTAGTTGAAGCTATGCAGCGCCAAGCTCGGAAAATGTGCAATTATGACAAAATTTTAGCTACCAAGAAAAACCTGGACCATGTCAATAAAATTTTAAAAGCCAAAAAACTTCAAAGGCAGGCCAGGACAGGGAATAACTTTGTGAAGCGCAGACCAGGTCGACCTCGAAAATGTCCCCTCCAGGCTGTGGTATCAATGCAAGCATTCCAGGCTGCCCAGTTTGTCAACCCAGAACTGAATGAAGGTGAAGAAGGATTAACATTGCATCTAAGTCCAGATACAGTTACTGATGTGATTGAGGCTGTGGTTCAGAGTGTGAACCTTAATTCAGAACACAAGAAGGGATTGAAGAGGAAGAATTGGCTATTAGAAGATCAGACCAGGAAAAAGCACAAGACAGCACCAGAGGAACAACAAGACAACAATAAAAGGTAATTTTTCTTGATGCTATTTAAATACAGCATCCTACTTCTTTTTATTTATTGTATGTGTGCATGCTTTATGTGTGTGAGGGTCAGAGAGTAGGCTGTGGGTTCTCTCTGACCTTGTGGGTTTCTGGGCATCAGACTCAAGTCATGAAGCTTGGCAGGAAGTCCCTTTACCTCTGAGCCATCTCACCAGCCCCAGCCTAGCTCCTTAAAACTATGATGTATGCTGACTCTTAAATCCTTCTGCACTTTAAAAATCTTAATCTTAAATACTTTTACACTATGTAAAAATGGTTTTTGTCAGAGGTTCTTATGCATGCCAGTGATTGAGAAAATCTGAAACAGTATAGTACGGAGTTTTAAGGTCAATCTGGGTTAAAATGATAGGGCTACCCTGAGCTGCATAATGCACCTAGACCCTGTCTCCAAAAAAAAAGCCAATTATGGTGGCTCACACCTAATATCAGGAGGTTAAGGCAGATTGTCACAAGTTCAGAGCCACCCTGGCTACAAAGTGAGACCCCTTCTTGAAAAATAAAACACACAGGAAAGAAACAAAACAAAAACCTTGTTCTCATTTATAGCTGTCCCAAATTATAAATATTTAAGCAATGACAGCAATCTAAGTCCCTTACTTCATAGATGAATATATATCAAAGCACAGACATTGTTTATCCAGTATACATAGACATTAAATTATTTTTTTCCCTCTGTGCACTCAACTTTTTATCCTAACATCAGGTACGTGTTTAAATATTCCAGCATACTTTATTTATTCACTTGTTCTTAGGCAAAAGGTCAGAAAGCTATATTCCATTTATTTTCTTTCTAGCATATTAAAGCCAGGTGTGGTGGCACATTCCTATAATCCCTGTACTTGAGAGGCAAAAGCAGGCAGACCTCTATAAGTTCAGTGCCGAACTGGTCTGTATAGTGAGTTCTAGTGAAACACTCTCTCTAAACAGAAACAAAACAGAGAAAGAGAGAGGGAGAAAGAATAAAAATAGGTGGGAAGATGGCTCAGCAGTGAAGCATGCTTGGTGTTCTTCCAGAGGATCAAAGTTTCGTTCCCAGCACCCATGTCAGTTACTCACAAGTACTTATGACATCTAGGGGATCCAACACCCTTGTATGGCCTCCTTCTGCACCTGGACTCAGATGCGCACACCCATACACAGAAACCCATACACATAATTAAAAATTATAAAATAAACTTTAAAAACAGTCTTCAATATTAAGTTCCTGGTCAGCCAAGGCTACATAATCAATCCCTGTCTTAAAAAAAAACAAAGCCAAGCAGCTTAGTGGTGTTGCCTTTAACCCCAGCACTCAGGAGGCAGAGGCAGGTGGTTCTCTGTAAGCTTGAAGTCAGCCTGGTTTATGTGGTAAGTTCCAGACCTGCTGGCTACAGGAAAACCCTGTCTCAAAAAGAATTAAAAAAATTTTTTTTTAAATCTTTTTGTATATCCCAATATTCTTTTTTATTATTTTTCTAATAGTGCATTTGTCTGTGTGGGTTTTTTTGTTTTAAGTTTTTTTGAGATAGGGTCTTCCTGTAGACCCAGCAGGCCTAGAACTTGCTATGTAGACCAGACTAGCTTCCAATCTCAGAGATTTGCCTGCCTCTGCCTCCTGAGTGCTAGGATTAAAGCCATGCACCATCACTCCCCATGTTGAGTGTTTTTTTTTGTTGTTAACTGTTATTGAGACAGAGTCTCATGTAGTTCAAGCTGCCCTCAGCTTTGATCTGTAGCCAAAGGTTACCTTGAACTTCTCATCCTACTACCCCTACTACTTAATTCCTGGGATTACAAGCTTGTGTGACCATGCCCACAATATAGTGCTGAGAATCAAACCCAGAGCTTTATATATTATATATACTCTGCCTACCACTGACCAGCACTCACAATATTTAACCACTTTTACATGTACATTTTGGTGGTATAAAATACATTCATTGGTGCTGAAAAGATGACTCAGTGGTTAAGAGTTACCTGTTCTTACAGAGGACCCAGGTTTGAATCCCAGTACCCACATGGTGGCTAACAACCATCTGTAATTCCAGTTCCAAGCGATTGGACTCCTTCTTTTGTCCTCAATGGTCTCTGCACATGGGTGCACTTATGTACATGTAGACAGAGCACTCATACACATAAAAAAATAAAAGTAAAGCAAGACAAAATTATATTCATCATGTTGTGTTATCTTAACACCCTCCATCTTATCTTATAAAACTGAACCTCTGTACTCATTAAATAGTAACTTCCTTATCTTCCCTTTGGCCAACTTCCTAAAAACTACCATTTTGTTATCTTTCTTTATAATTTTGACTATTCTGAGTGCCAAACCTGGGTCTTCTGCAAGAGCAGCAAGGTTTTATACAAGCCACTCATGAAAAGTGAAATCATTCAGTATTTGTGTGTGTGTTGTCTTTTTTGTGTGTGACGCCTTATTTCATTGATTTTAAAGTCCCCAAACAGGAGTCTCTGCTTTGTTAGTTCTGCCTGCTTTTCTGATTCATGACTTTTCTTTCTCCTTTTCTTTCTCTTTTTTTCTAATACTGACCTGAGCCTAAGTTTTCTTTCTTTTTGGGCTTTTTCACTCTTTCTCTGAAGCTACCTCCCTTTTGCTACTTATCAGACATCTCTCCCTAACTCAAAAAGACATGACTTTCTTCTCCATCTCCCTCCTTTATAGCCTGCCTGTTCTACAGTTATTCTTTAAACTCTAATAAAATTGTCCTTGAATTTAAAAAGAAAAAAAAAATCCTCAAAGATTTCATCCATGCTGTGGCATATGACATTTCTTTTTGAAAGTAAAAATATTCTATCATGTCTAGAACACATTTTACTTCATCATTCATTGAACAGTTACATACATGGGTGGCTTGTATAAAATCTTTTTGAGGTGCTAGAGAGGTGACTCAGCATTTAAGCAAACTTGCTGCTCTTGCAGAAGACCCAGGTTTGGTTTCCAGCGCCTATATCAGGCAGCTCACAACTTCCTGTCATTTCAGTTCCAAGGGATTCCAGCACCCTCGTCTGACCTCCAGCCTCTGTAGGTACCAGGCATGCATGTGGTACACATAAGTATACATAAATAAAAATGAAGTTTAAAAATGCTTTCGAGACCTTGTCTACATCATATGATAATTTTGTTTGTAATAATATTTTTATTTTTCAGGAACCATCACACTGTTTTCCTTTGAAGCAATACCATTGTCCATATCTACCAGTAGTATATAGGGGTTCCAGTTGTTTTGCACACTTAGCAGCACTTACTGGTTTTATGACAGAAACAGTCCTAGTGGTTATGAATTGATGATCTTTTGTGTGTGTGTGTGTGTGTTTGTGCACATGCAAGCATGTGTGTTTATGTGCATATGTATGTTGACACCCATGTAGAGGTCAGGGGGCAACTTGTTGGTTCTTTCCTTCCACCATATGAGTCCTGAGAATTGAACTCAAGTGAGACTTGGCAGCAAGTGCCATTATCCACCGAGCCGTTTCATGAGACTGATGGTTTGTTCCTTCGTTCCTTCCCTCCCTCCCTCCTTCCTGCCTTCCTTCCCTCTCTTTTTCCTTACTTCTTTTCTTAGGAAAGGCTCTCACTATCCCTGACTGGCCTAGAATTTATTATGTATACCACGCTAGCCTTGAACTTACAGAGATCTCTCTGCCTCTGCCTCTCAAATGCTGGAATTAAAGTTGTGCGCCACTGTGCCTGGCCTCAGTAAAACTTAAAAATAATAGGTGAGAACAGTTTTTCACCTTCTGGTCAATAAGATAATTATTTCACAAGATATCAAATTCAACAACCATAATGATACTCTGAATTTCTGTAGATCAAACAACATCTTGACAAACACAAAGAGTAGCTACTCACTGGAAAGGAATATTTAGAAGACATACTGTTCATAATTATTGGTATTCAGAGTCTATAAAAGGGGGGTTGGGGATTTAGCTTAGTGGTAGAGCGCTTGCCTAGCCCTGGGTTTGGTCCTCAACTGAGGGGCAGGGGACAACAAAATAACAACAACAACAACAACAAAAAAAAAAAAGACAAGGCAGAGGCAGGCAGATCTCTGTAGAGAAGCTGTGTTCAAAATGGTGCCGACCGCCTCAGTGGGAGGAGGAGCTAAGCAATTGGACCAGGGACAAAAAATTAAAAAAAAAAAGTGTAGGTAATTGGAGACTAACCAGGAGGAAAATGCGTGAGCACCTCGTGATCACCATAGTAGTGCATTGAAAGGAGCCTGCATGCTCTATGTGACCTTCCACAGGATTGGAGGATAGGTTCCCGCCTATGCTAATGATTGTGGTTTTTGCCTTTATAAGCGTTGTAACACTTACAATCTGAGAGTCTTGGGGAGGCGGGCGAAAGGGTGAGCAGCACACTTACCTCTCTTCAGCCCCCAGCCCCCATCGCTGAACTCCACGTCCTGCCTCGCTGGCGGGGCGGAGGCTCGGCAGATCTCAGTGAGTTTAAGGCCAGCCTGGTCTACATAGTTAGTTCCAGGCCAGCTGGGGCTATAGGGAGACCCTGTCTCAAAAAGAACAAATTTTTTTTAAAAAGGGAAACAAGGTGTGGTGGCTCACATCTATAGTCTATACTCATGATGCAAGTGCAGGAAGATTATTCCAGATTGGAATCTAACTTCATCTATATAGATAGTTCCAGACTAGGCAGGGCTACAAAGCAAAACTGGTCATAAAACAAAAAGTAAACTACAAAGAAATAAAAGAGGTGGAGGCATTCAGGAGTTGAAGACCCATGTAGTGAGCTTCACCCATATAGTGAGCTCAAGGTTTCCTAAGATACTGTCTCAGAAAGAAAAGATAGCTGGGCGTGGTGGCACTTGCCTTCAATCCCAGCACCCAGGAGGCAGTGGCAGGCAGATCTCTGAGTTCAAGGCCAGCCTGGTCTACATAATGAATTCCAGGACAGCTGGAGTTACAGGGAGACTTTGTCTCACAAAAAAAAAAAAAAAAAAAAAAAAAAAAAAAAAAAAAAAAAAAAGAAAGAAAGAAAAGAAAAAAGAAAATTCAAGGTTCTGATCATGTAGGTCAGTTTGTAAAGTACTTTTCTAAAATGGGATTGATCTCCAGCACAGTATAAAACTGATGCACACATATAATCCAGCACTCGGGAGGCAGGGGCAGGCAGATCTCTGTGAGTTCAAGGCCAGCCTGGTCTTCATGAGTTCCTAGCCAGCTGGGGCTACAGGGAGACCCAGCTTCAAAAAAAGAAAAAGAAAAAAAAATTGAGTCTTAAGCTTTCATGTGCTTATCGAAATACACCATAGCAGCAATATTACTCAGAATTGAACATGACAGCCTTAGTAGAATGAGTTCGGCTCTGCATGAGAAAGAAATGATAGAAACCCAGCCTGAATATTAGAGCCTGAACAGGGTCAGAAGAGTACCACTCTAAAGAGTCCTTCCTGAGTGATTTGTCAGGGACCAACAACAAGGTTATGAAAACATCCATCATTGATCTGCTCTCAAAGAAGGTAATGAAACTCTGTAAGTAGACATTTGCTTGCTTGCTTATTTTTGAGGTAAGGTCTCACTAGGTTGTTTTGATTGGCTTTGACTTGTAATATAGACAGGTCTTGAAATAATAAACCTCTTGCCTCAGCCTCCCAAAGAGTTAGTATTATAGGCCTGCAGAGCTAGACCCAGTAGCATTTGCTTTGCTTTCTCTAATTGAAGCATTACTACTTTGAAGAATTTCTGTATGTGTCAGGATGGCAGAAAACACTTGTTTTTTGGCAGGAGCGTGGAATATAATCTAAAACAGGAGTGAAAACTTGACTGGTAAGAATGCCAATGAAAAAAATGTCTCATAGCCAAGTGAGGTATATCCTATGCATGTATACATGACTTTTTGTTTTGAGACAGGGTCTCTGGGTATCCCCAGCTGTCCTAGAACTTGCTATGTAGACCAGTCTCGCCTTGAACTCACAGAGATTCACCTGCCTCTGCCTTCTGAGTGCTAGTATTAAAGGCTTGAGGTCGATGCCTGCCTGGTTTACATAGTGAGTTCCAGGCAGCTGGGGCTACAGGAAGACCCTTTCTCAAAAAGACCACACAATCTTGGGACTGGAGACATGGGTTCGTGGGTAAGAGCCCTGGCTACTCTTGCAAAGAACCCAGGTTTGGCTCACATCATCTACATGGAGGCTCACAATTGTCTTTAATTCCAGCTTCAGTTCCACAGGATCCAAAATCCTCTTCTGGGCCTCCAAAGGCACTGTATCTACTTATATAAATGTAGATAAAACACTGATACACACACACACAAATAAATAATAATTTAAAAGTAATAAAATCTTTTTAAAAGTACTAATAAATTTTAAAAACATGTCAGCAGCATAACTAGGAATGGTGGCCCATCCTTCTAATCCCAGCATTAAGCTAACTGAAGCAGCAAATTAGTATGTGTTCAAGGCCAACATATTCTACATAGTGAGTTTCAGACCAGTTTAGGCTACTGAGTGAACCCGTCTCAAAAAAAAAAAAAAAATCTAATATCAGGGCTGTAAAGATGTATTAACAGTTAGTATGCTTCCTATGTGAGCATGAGGAGTTCAGATAACCCAGAAATGCATATGAATGCTGGGTAGGTGTGGCTGTACATCTAGCCTCTGAAGGCGAGCTGGCTAGCTAGACTAGATATTTTAGATAGCTTTGGATTTGACTGAGAGACCCTGCTTCAATGAATAAGGTGGAGAATGATCAAGAATGATTCCCAACGGCAGCCTCGGGACTCTACAAGCATGAGCACAGAGGCTGGAGAGATGACTCAGAGATTAAAAGCACTTGCTGCTCTTGCAGAAGACTCAGGTCCAGTTTTCAGCACCCATATCATGTAGCTCACAACAACTTAAATGTCTGATGCCCCCTTCCAGCCTCTGTTGTTATGAGGCATGCACATGGTACACACATACACATGCAAACAAGACACTCATATCCATAAAATAAAAACAGATCTCTTTAAAAGAAAACACATAGGCAAATACATATTTGTACCACATACCCATACACAAAATGGTAATAAATAATAACAATAAATAAATTACAATAGTAAATGGAAATCAACCTTTGTTCATGTCTTGGAAGACAATATTGTTCAAATGCCATATCCAGTGTAGTACAAGGATTCAGGGAAATGTCTATCAAACTCTTAATTACATTTTTCAGAAATGGGAAAATATTTCTTGATTTGAAGGCATTCCTATAATCAGGAAGCTAAGGCAGGAATGTTGCCTGTTCAAGGCCATAATGGGTTATGTAGTGATACCCTGTCTTAAATAACTGGGGTTAAGGGACTATAGAGATGTGTCAGCAGTTAAGAGCACTGACTGTTTTTGCAGAGGACTGGGGTTCAATTCCCAGCACCCCATGTAGTGACTAACAATCACCTGTAAGTTCCAGGGGATCTGACACTCTCTTCTGACCGCTGTAGGCACTGGAGGACATGGGTATACTTTCACACTTGCAGGGAATACACTCATACACATAAAATAATTGGGGTTGGTAGTACACATCTTTAATCACAACACTGGAAAGCAGAAGTAGATGGATCTCTGTGCATTCAAAACGAGCCTGGTCTGCATAGAGAGTTCTTGGCCAGCCAGATCTATATATTAAGACCCTGTCTCAAAAAACCAAAAAACGAGAAATAGGAATCAGTCTGTTCTAAATATCACATAAAATCTCAGAGCATCTGATAGCTGAAGCAGTATTGAAAATGAACAAAGTTGCAGCAATTATACTTTATTAAGAACTACACTATACAAAACTGGAATAAAGACAAGAAGAATGATAGACTAGAGCATCTAGAAATAAGCATAATGAAATGCTTCAACAATGATGCTATCCTCAGTTGGGCATGATTGTGCATTCCTATAATCCTAGCATTTGGGGGAATGAGATAGATAATCTTGTGTTCAAGGCCAGCCTGGGCTGTATAGTGGGAAGACTCTGGGTTTAGTCACTCATATTGGGGGTAAAAAAATGACAGCAATAGTCATTGGAGAAGAAATTGTCTTGCTGATGAGAAAACTGGATATCCACATGTAAAATTAAAAGCATTCTGACTCTTTTACCCTAATACTTTTTTTGGGGTGGGGCTTGGAGGTTCAGTCTCACAGAGATCTGCCTGCCTTGGCCTGACCTCTTAATTCTTTTTTTTTTTTTTTTTTTTTGGCCTTTTTGAGACAGGGTCTCCCTATAGTTCCAGCTGGCCTGGAACTCACTATGTAGACTAGGATGAACTTGAACTCACAGAGACCTGCCTGTCTCTGCGTTCCCAAGTGCTGGGATTATAGGCGTGCGCCACCATGCCCAGCCCAACTCCTTAATTTTTTAAAAAATTAGTTTGCCGGGCGTGGTGACGTATGCACTCAGGAGGCAGAGGCAGATGGATTTCTGTGAGTTCAAGGCCAGCCTGGTCTACATAGTGAGTTCCAGGACAGCTGGGGCTACAGGGAGACCCTGTCTCAAAAAGACAAAAAAAAATTATTTTTGTGTATATTAGTGTTTTGGCTGTATGAATATAAATGCACCCATGCATGCAGTGCCCAAGGAGGCCAGAAGAGGACGCCAGATACCCTGGAACTGGAGTTTGAGAAAATTGTTAGCTGCCATGTAGGTCCTGGGAGCCAAAGTCAGGTCCTCTGCAAAAGCAGCTGGTGCTCTTAACTGCTGAGCCATCTCTCCAGCCTATCCTTACACTGTGTATAAAAATAGGGGGAAAACCTAATGACATTCAATTTTACGATGATTGTTTGGAACAGTATGACAACCAAAGTATAGCCAACAAAAATAGTTACACGTGGCTTCCATCAGAATTCAGTATTTTAGGGCATGATGAAGGCAGTGAAAATATATCCCAAAGAATGAGAGAAACTATTTGATAAGTGTCTAAAACTCAAAAAGGGGGAGAAAATTAGGGAATTGACAAAGGGTCACATGACATTTTCATCAGAGAGAATATACAGAAGATGTTCAACATCACTAATAAAATCACAATGAGATAATCTGCAACCATTATAGTGATATATATGTGTATGTATATTCGATTGAGGATATATTACAGGACTGAAAAGTATTGCAGAATCCATGGAGAAATTGAAGTACTTTGACAATACTGTTGAAAATGTTACATAGCTGTGGCAAATATTATGATAGCTCATCAAAGAAAATGATGTGACTCAGCAGTTCTGCTCTTAAAGTGTCTCCTCAAAATAGAATGGGGCCTCGGCACCATCTAGGAGGCAGAGGCAGGCAGAGCTCTGTGAGTTCGAGGCTATGTAGTGAGTTGCAGGCCAGCCAAGGCCACATAATAATATCCTGAACTCAAGTCAGCCGGTCAATATTATATAGTACATTTTACCATGGTCTATTTTAATTTTTTTTTACTTTTATTTGTTTGTGTATTTGTGTGTGGACACTTGCATACCATAGTAGGCAGATTTCAGTCAGAGGACATGTAGGAGTCAGTTTTCTTCTTCCACCATGTGGATCCTGGATGTTGTAGGCCTCCCCTTACCCCCAACAGACTTTAAAAGTCTGTGGACAGCAAGTGAAGGGGCTTGCCACCAAGACTGATTACTTGGGTGCCCTCAAGGTAGGAGAGAAGCAAATCCCTCAAGTTGTCATCTGGCAGTTTCTTAGGCCTTTGAAATGTGAATATATGAGTTTGAGGGTACCAGAATTAGGAGTTTTCAAGGTCGTTCTTGGCTACATAGCAAGGTCAAGGCCAGTCTGGGTAGATAAGATTCTGCCTCAAAAAACAGAAAAAATATAAAAGTATATTTTCACAATAATATGTTTAAATTTTTTTTCTAGCTTTATAGAAACAGCAGTTGAAATGCCCAGTTCTCTTGAAACCCCAGTAAAATCTCCTGAACCTGAAGGTACTTTGCAACCTGTGCTCTCTCTCATTCCAAGAGAAAAGAAAGCCCCGCGTCCTCCAAAGAAAAAGTACCAGAAAGCCGGGCTGTATTCTGATGTTTACAAAACTACAGAGTAAGTAGTGTAACTGTAAGTTGATATCCTTTTGATACCTGTTATTCCTCCATGTTTGAAAAAATAACTTTGTAAAAAAATTTGCCAGGTGTGATGGTGCAGGCAGAGGCAGGCACATCTCTGTAAATTAAAGGCCAGCCTGCTCTGCATAGTGAGTTCCAGGCCAGCTGAGGCTACAGGGAGACCCTGTCTCAAAAAGATGAAAAAAAGACTAAAAAAAATTTTAGGCCCCAGGTATGTATGGTAGCACAGACCTTTAATCCCCAATACTGAGGAGGCAAAGGCAGATGGATCTCTGTGAGTTAAGAGCACTTGCAGCTCTTATAAGGGACCTGGGTTCAGTTCCCAACACCCCATGGCTGCTAACAACCATCCATAACTCCAGTTCCAGGGTTTCTGATGCCCTCTTGAAGTTTTCAGGAATTTCATGTACTCAGTATACTTACATATATGCAAGCAAAACACTCACACATAAAATAAAAATAAAACAAAAACAGAAGAAACAAAACAGTTAAAAACAAAGACTTAATAGGAGGATCTGAACCTAGGAGAAAAAAATGGTAAGAAGAAATATTAGATTTATGAGATCCAGGGCTTGGGGTGTTGCATATTAATAGAGTGCTTACCCAGCATAGAACTTATTTTTCCCCTTAGAACCCCATTTCACACAAAGTGTTACATAATCCAGGTCTATATCCATATAAAATATGTATACAAACAGAACATTTCCTGATCCTAAATTTTTTTAATAAACTCTTCTTTGTGTATATATTATTTTACCATTTATTAAAGACTAAAATTTGCATATTAATAAAATGAATATGCTTGTTTGTATTTATGAAGAATTCTTGCTAGGCCCCTTGGTGCAGTTCTATAATCCTAGCTCTATGGAGGTAGAGGCAGGAGAATCAGAAAAGAGTCCAACGTCATCCTTAGGAACATCAAATTTGAGGCAACATTAGGCTTCATGAGACCCTGTCTTAAGAAGTAAAAAAATTAGAAAAAAGAAATTAAATCTTGATTGATTACTTGATACTGAAGGATGTACAGCATTTTTCAGAGTTAATAGATATCTTGATTTTATAGTTGTCAATGCTGAGAACCTTGCTTTACATAACTTTGAAGCCCAAAATGGCAAAAGTATGTTTAGTGCCATTTCAGAGATCGTTGTAAAGTCTGTCCTAATCCCAAGTCATTTAACAATTTATTTTATTTTATTTTATTTATTTTTGATCTTTTTGAGATGGGGTGTCCCTATAGTCCGAGCTGGCCTGGAACTCGCTATGTAGTCTAGGCTGTCTTTGAACTCACAGAGATCCCCCTGCCTCTGCCTCCCAATGCTAGGATAAAGGCATGGGCCACCATGCCTGGGTTAAACAGTTTTTGTAATTTTTTTGGTCCTTTTGAAACAGGGTTTCCTTGTAACCCCATCTGGCCTGGAACTCACAGAGATACAACATCCTCTGCCTCCTGAGCGCTAGGATTAAAGGCATGGGGGCCCCAGTGTGTAGCTTTAACAGTTTTTTTAAAAAGTAGCTCAAGTCAACGAATCAAGCCAAAATTTTTCAAATATATCCAAATCCAAACATAGGCTTACTTGGTATTTACATGCTAAAAGATAGCAATAAGAAAATATTGAAGATTTTTGTTTTCCATAATTAAATATTATGTGTTTGTAAAAGAAGGAAACTTGAAATATACAGTAAAAACATTAATTCCTAGCATATTAATAGTTTTTAATCTGTGCTGAGATATTTTAGGAAGTGTTCATTGGTGCTGGCCTAATATGGCAGCATATGCAGTAGATTCCTATGCAAATGATGTAATCTTACCATTTCAACCATTTCCTCAGTCCTAACAATATCTTTCATTGATTTGTCACTGAGATTAGGTATTAAAAAATTTTGTGCTCTGTATCTGTCTCTTACATGATCAGAATATTTTATACTTACCCATCGTGATGGTGCATTCCTTTAATTCCTTTAGAGGCAGAAAGATCTCTGTGAGATCAAGGCCAGCCTGGTCTATATGGTCAATTCCAGACCAACTGGGGCTACAATGGAGACCCTGTCTCAAAAATAATTAAATAAACAAGAAAAGAGAAAGGAGCTGGGCATGGTAACACATGCCTTTGGTCCCAACGTTCATGGGGGATAGAGGCAGGCAGATCTCTGTGAGTTCAAGGCCAGCCTGGTCTATATAGTAAGTTCCAGGACAGCTGGGGCTACGAGGAGACCCTGTCTCAAAAAAGTCCAAAAAACCAAACATAGAAAAGAAAAAGGAAATAAAATGAAACAGTTGACTAGGGAAGTGCTTTCCCAATGAGGCTGGAGAGATGGCTCAGTGATTAGTACTAGCTGTTATTGAAGAGGTTCTGGGTTCGATTCCCAGCACCGGCTAACAACCATTTTTAACTCCAGCTCCAGGGGATCCGATGCCTTCTTCTGACCTTCTTGGGCATTGTACTATACAGGTTCACTTACATACATGAAGGTAAAACACTCATACACATAAAATAATAAATAAAATATTTTTTAAACTGATGCATCAATTAAAATAAATAACTAAAAAGATATATTTCCCATTAATTTCTAAGAGATTCTGAAGTATGCAGTTCAGAGTTTCTCTGATACTTTCATATCATAGTACATCTTCTTAGGACGCACAAATATACTTAGCTTTTGTGTTCTTGTATTCACATTGTGTGTGCATGTGTGTATATGTGTATATGGAAGCCAGAGCTTGACAGTCAGTTTGTCTTCCTCAATCACTCCACTGCATATTTTGAGCCAGGATCTCTTACTAAATTGGTGCTCACAGATTCAGCTAAACTGGTTGAATCAACAAGTCCCAAGAATCCTCATGACTACCACTGTATGGCTAGGATTACAGGTGTGCTGCTACACCTGGCTTTTTCCATGGGTGCTGAAAATCTGAAGTTGGTTAGCCCCCCACCCATGTGCCAACTTTTATTGAGACAGGGTCTACCCTAGCCCAAGCTGACCTCTAACTTCCTGTGTAGCTGAAGATGACCTTAAACTTCTGATTCTCCAGGCTCCACCTCCCAAGTGTTGGGATTACTAGTGTGCACTATCACATGCATTTTATTTTTTTGTTTGTTTTTTTTTTTAATTATAGAGAGTGTGTGTGTGTGTGTGTATGTGTGTGTGTATGTCTGTGTGTGTGTGTGTGTGTGCGTGTGTTGTGTGCCATGGCTCATGGTGTGAAGGTAAAAGGATAATTTGTAGAAGTCGGTACTCCTTATTCCTTGTCGAACTCAATATTGGGACTCAGGTTTTTAGTCCTGACATCAAGCACTTTTATTCCCTGAGCAATTACATTCGCCTCTGCCTGGTTTTGTTTGTTAAGTTTTGCTATGTAGCCCTGGCTGACATTGAGTTCATAGAGATCCACCTGCCTCTGTCTCCCAAGAAGTGGAATTACAGGCATGCTCCACCATGCCTGGCTACCTGGTTTTTTAATCAGTAGGGAGGAGAGAAGAGGTGAAGAAAGAAGAGGAGGAGAAGAGAAGGAAAATGAAACTTAAAACTGATTATCAAATAATAGGGAGTGATGCTCCCAGTGTTTTGATTTTACATTCCTAGTTATATGATATCATTAACTCAGTTTCCAAATAAAAGTGGCATAGTTGATAGCTTTTGGCTTCACAAATCCTCTAGAACATGTACTAGTTGAGTATAGTCATTAAACTATCATATTATTTCTTTTCTAAGATTATTATGACTAAATCCCACAAACTTAGTGGCTATATTAGTTATTTTTCTCATTCTTGTGACCCATAACCTAACAGAAACAATTTAAGGAAAGAAAGATTTATTTTAGCTCCTGGTACTTGGGATATAGTTCATCAAGAGGGGAAGTTAGTTCTGTGGCAGTGGGTATCTGACTAATTCTCATCCTGACCTATCAGGAACCAGGAAAGAGAACTTCCAGAGTAGAAGCAAGCTAGGTAATAATCCTCAAGGCCTACCCTGCAGCAACCTACTTCTTCCATCTAGGACCTCACCTCTTAATAGTTCCCTGTCCTCCCACAACAGTGCCACCAGATCAAGACAATGTATTACATTCCACATTCAAATCATAGCATAGTGTCTTACAGAAAAACGTAGTCATACCTTGCAGTTCCTGAGTCTAAAATTATTTTTCCCTGTAGGTTTAAGTGAAGGTGTTGGCAAATGTTCCTTTTGGGAGGCCAAAAGAATTTTTCCCCTTGACTTTTCAACTTCTAAAGGATGGCATATTCCTAGGTGCTTTCCGGGAACTAACCCTATTATGGAAAGTAGGACAATTTGAATTGAAAGCTTACCAGATGATCTCTATTCCTTTTTTATTTTTTTAATTTTTAAAAAAATATTATTATTTTTATTTTATGTGTGTATGTATGTGTGCTAGATAGTTTTAGTGTCAACTTGACACACCTGGGTTGAGGGAGCCCCAGTTGGGGAATTGCCTCTATTGGACTGGCCTGTGGCCATGTCTGAGGGGCATCTTCTTGATGAGTGATGTGGGAGGGCCCAGCCCACTGTGGGTGGTGCCACCCCTGGGCAGGTAGGCCTGTGTTGCATAAGAAAGCAGGCTGAGCAGGGG